AGGTGAGCAAAGCAAAGCCCTTGCCCGGCATCACCAGCCGAAAAACGTGGAACCCAGTGACCATGGGCAACCACCACCCAGGATCAGGCTGGACTCTGGATGAAGCTGGCTGATTAGTATTTGCTAACATTAAGTAGCTAGTAATTCATCCCATTTGGCAAACGAGCTAACATTATAGTCAGCTAAAACCCCAATATCACAATAAATGTAATATGTTTTACAGTAATGTAGCCTGTACTTTAAACATTTTGAGTGGTGTTGGTTCGGTTTGTAGATGTTAACGACTCCATTATAAGTGAAATTAGCTAGTGTTGCCCACTGTAACACTTGTTAGGAAGCAAATGTCCATAGGATAGAACAAATAGAATCAGTCCCACAGGCAATCATTGGGAAAAAGGCTGTGAAGTCTATCTTTTTGAACTTACTGAAAACCCGTCACACATAAAAAGTAGGTTAATACGTAAAAGTAATACAGAAAATGCTCAGAATCTACATGCAGAACATTTAAGACTACCAGGTTTGCTAAACACTTGTTTCGATGGTATGTGTTTCTTGCTCCTTTCTGAATAAATTTACCAGATTTGCCGCATCCTTTGCATATCTCAGTAAATTTAAGTGACTTAGTGAAATGTTACTTTTCTTTACGCCGACATTCTGAAACATCTCTTGAATGTAAGTGCACAGTTTTGTGACTAAATCCTTCATGAACTCAACTGGGATATTATATAAGTTAAATGTAACACTTAAATTGAGATTGGTGTTTTCAGTGCCCGCATTATCGGACTGTCCACCAGCCAACAGGCCCAGGTGATACCACCCCGGTTATTTGGATGCTGGGTGAAGCATACTACAGTCAGTCCAGCAGAACAGCAAAGACGGCCCGCCCAGAATCTCACCACACCTCCTGCCCACTTTACTGCAGCACCAAGGTACACAGCAACACCAACCATATTGCTATCACACACTTGTATAGCTGTACAGGAACTGATCTATACATACATACATTACACTTCATACAGCTTAAACTGGGATTTGATGTTCTCAGGCTGAACTAATGGTTTAAGTACATGGATCAGATCTATATCCTTTGAAAGAGCATTGTTTTATATTCAATTCAATTTCAATTCAATTTTATTTGTATAGCGCCAATCATAACAGAAGTTATCTCAGGACACTTTTTCAAATAGAGCATCGTCTTAGACGAACTTCCTTAAACATTTACATAGACCAACAGTACACCATGGTAAGCATTGGCGACGGGGGCAAGGAAAAACTCCTTTTAACAGGCAGAAACCTTCGGACAGACCCCTTCGGCTCTAGGTGGGTGGTCATCTGCCTGGACCCGTTGGGGGGAGAGAGAGAGAGACAGAGAGACAGAGAGACAACAGATTGTACAGCAACAACAGAAGCAACAACTACAGTTAAACAGTAATGATCGATTGACGATCATGAAAAAAGACGGTGACGGACGGCGACAGCAGAACGACAGGGGGACAGCGAACAGCGACAACAGCAACCGCAGAACAACAATAGTCACAAAACTAATAATAATAACGATAATATCAGGATATTAGCAATGGCAGTCTAGCAGCGACCATGGCAGGAGGCTCACCAGGGGATCCATGAGAACTGCAAGCGACCAGGACGATAAAGCACAAGAACATATTCATGGTCCTCTAGTTGTAGTTTTGAAGAAGAATTATAATTAACTATAAACTCATCTAATAATGGACATATTTATCACTTATATACAGTTCCTGTAAAGAAAGAAGTCAAAAATTTGGAACAACAACCGATTCTAATGAAACAAAGATTGAATATTCAGTAGATTTTCAGATCTCCTGCTTTTGAAGCATTTAAAAGATTGTCTAGCTTTTGAAACTCTTTGAGGCTCATGAATAGTAAAATTGTATTTATTATCTGTAGTGTGTTTGTGCTTGCATTTGTGTATCTATCCGCTGTTAATCTCGCATACTACTGGACCAATCAGCTTCATATTTATTGTACACACGTATGACTATACCGGTATGCTCAAGGACCTCTTGGTTGCAATGATTCAGTATGTATTATCAAAAACCGGGCTGGTACTAACTATACCTCCCTATTCACTGCTGAAGAAAACCATTTTAAATGATTGTACTGAGGAAAATATCATATCTGGATTTTATGATTCACTTATATCTGGGTCCCCTGAGTCTTCCAAAGTTAAATTTAGAGTTTGGAGTGATGATTCATTACAGAAAGGCATTTAATTTTATGAGTGGGAAGATACTTGCAAGAAAGCCAAAGCACAAACAGCAAATACCCATCAAAGGCTTTAACAATATAATTGGTTGATGCGCATATTTATATCACTCCAGAAAAGTAACACAATTTCAATAGTGATATCCCAGAATTTAGATGTGTGGAGCATTTTCCACTGTGTTTGGGAATATTAAAAGATAACAGATGACAGCATTATCATGGAAAGTACAATTATTGGTAAATGGAACAAGAGCTGTTAATGGTATGGGGGTCCTTTAATAAAATCCACAAACATGGAATGTGTGCTGGGTCAACAGAGTGAATTTGAGAAAGTCACCAGAGTGAATATTTTTTTGATTTATTTTTTTGTATTTCTTTTTATTTTTAACATATTATCTTTCAAATTAATCTAAATGAATGTGTTAAATTTGACAGCTTTTGACATCGAACCAATTTTTTAGCCTGCCATGACACCCCTCTAGATCCACCCCTGTTGGGAACAACTATACTGTAGATCTCTTCACCATGTGTCCTGCTGCAGGTCACAGCCGTTCTATAGTGGGCTTAGAGCAGAAGAAGAACGGGAAACTGTGCCTACTGCTCCTGGATCCTGGTTCCTCTGTGTCAGACACCCGGAAGCTGCTGAGCAGGGACACTGTCTCCACAGCCGTCCGCCACGTCAGGAAGTTCTACGGCAGCCTGAAGCACAAACAGTACCAGGTGGTGGCAGTACAGGGCGTGTTGTCTGCTGAGGAGAAACAGGTGAGCTGTGATGGAACAGTACTCCAGGTTCTCATCATTAACCAAACAAAGACCTCGATTGAATATCTTGGCAGTCCTTGATTTGATGTTCTGATGAAGTGTGCAGACTATGAATAAGTGCAGCAACAACTTGCTGTTTATCAGTATAACAGCACACTTTATTTGTTTTCACAGATTAGCATCTTGGATTCCAGGATGTTACGTGCTGAAAGGATCCCATGAACAGAAATGCACCTCTTTATCTCCTCTGTTTGTTTTTACTGTGAACATATATTTGATGTTCCATTTCAGACTTTTTAATGTAGATTTTTGCTAATAAACTCGTTCTTTTTTTAAATAAACTGCTTTTCATGCTGTGCATTTACAGTTAATCAGATCTTATTTCTGATCTGATTTCTGATTAATAATTCATGCATGAGAGAGGAAATGGAACAGAACGACCCTGTCTGCCCAATCTATCCATGTGGCTGTCACACTCTTTAACTCAAAATAACACTGTGGTGTCAAATGGAACCAAAAAAAGAGAATGTGTTCTCAATTAACGCATCTGGTTAAATAAAGGTAAAATAAATAAATAAATAAATGAAGGTTTCCGGGAGGATAAATGAAGAAAATGACAGATTTTGTGGAGGGAATCTCACCTCAGGTTTGGTGTGATGTGACGGGAGAGGGTAAAGTGTGTCAGGAGCACAGATGGCAGCTTTATAAGGAAGATAATGAAGATATCTTCCTGCTTTTAATGTTCACTTCTGATCACAATGTGTGAAAGCTGCTGTTTGAACACGCCTGAAATGCGCATGAATACAAGGTTCACACCCAGAGCTGTGAGGTGTTAACGATGCTCACTGTGAGTTTATTCTCTGGAAGATTATATGTTGAAAACACTAAAAGAAAAACTTTAGTTAAATGATTTTTTTATTTTATTTTATTTGTTGTTTTTTATGCACTTTGTTCTACATCCTCGTGTGTGTGCTTGTAAATCCATCTTTGTGAGGACCAGTTTGAGTGCAAAGTGAGGACATTTGTGCAAAGTGAGGACGCTTTAAGGGGCCGCACCCTCACCCCAAAGGGCCCGAAGTATACAATATTTTCAGGCTTAGTTTTATTATTTTATTATTTTTTTCTCCTGTTATTCACCACTGAAGTGTGAACCTATCGCGGCGTCCCCCATCGGTTTGTGGAGTCGTGTTTTGAAGCCTTGATTTTGGCATTGTTGTTGTTGTCTCTGCGGTTTGTTGGAGCCAGCGGAGGTCACGTAAAGCGAGTTGAGCTGCTCTCATTGGCTGCTTTTGGTTTGGAAACAAATGGCGACTCGTCTGGTCACACCTGTCTCGTATTCCAGATAAACAGTAAAATGTGTTTGTGAACAGATTTTAAGAAGAGAAATAGTCAACAACAGAATCTGGATCCATATCATGACAAAGCAACTGATTTGACAGATTTGAATCTGAAGTTTGGTGCGTTGAGACTGGACGGACTCATGAAGAATGAGACTTGTCAATCACAAGGAATCCCGCCTAAGCGTACCCTGCTTTATGGTCTGTTTGACTCTAAATGGGACTGAAAGTAACACGACTGAGTCTTTTTAGCCATGTGGCATCAATGCTAATAGGATGAGAGCACTGAGTCTTTATAAAAACAAACATAATAACGTCTAAGAAATAAACAGGATTAAATGCTGAGAGTGATCTCAGTTATACAGAAAATAAAGTGAGAGACGTTTACTTTTGGTCTTCAGAAGACTCAAATGATGCTACTTCTTGTGTCAGGGAGTAAAAACAAATAAAATGTGTATTATAAGTAACATATTATGAAATAAAAGTCACACAATAATACACAAATAAAGATTTCTGAAAGGTTCTGATCATATTAAATGGTGAAGTGTAGTGCTAGAGAGCGGGTCCGACGGTCTACATAGTTCTTTTAAAAGGTTTTACATGATCGATTGATTGTTTTTAAGGTTTAGGTCACAATTAGTCTAAAGGTTGTGGTTAGTGTGTGTGTGTGTGTGTGTGTGTGTGTGTGTGAGGGGTATTTTAACTGCTCAACGGGAAGTGACAGTGATAATGGTGATGAGAGGAGAAAAAAATTGAGATAAATAACTACCAAGGTGAGATGTCAGTGATAAAGTATAAACTACATATATTAGAATATTATTATTGATTAATTAAGCAGCATTTTATTGCTGTTATGATGGAAACTAACAACTTTATACTGTTTGGTAAAAGTCGTATTTTATAAACTGACTATATGTTTTTCATATCAAATATTGATCTAAATTAATGTAAATTAATTAATTATTTCACTGTAAAACCTTTAATAATCCAATCATTTTAAGATAATGCTACTAACATTACTCTGTATAGAGTTCATTCAGTTATACCTTAAATAATGTCACTACAGAGAGAAATCATAGACATTACAGGATTATTTACACAGTACATTAATACAAGGCTGCAGGTCACTAATGTGTAGATTTAGTCCCCAGAATATAAATATTTAAAGAGTGAAACCATTAATATGACTTCGACTATAATGTTATACCTCAGAGTATTGATCACCACAGAAACGAATATTATTATAAGTTTTAAAACGTTATGTATCCATTACTTTGATTATTTTCTCTGTAATTAGTGAGGATAATGCAGAGCGGAGGGATTGTGAAGACATGAGCACATCCAACAGATGTCGATGGAGTCCTCTTTCAACGCCGTAGAGCTCCAGGAGCTTCGGGGCGGAGGAGGCCGGCGAGGCGTGTCTCCGACGCCGGGCTCAGCGCCCTGGACAGCGGCCACTGTGGGCAGCGCCGGCCGGGGCTTCGAGAACGCCTCCTACCAGCAGGACGAGGATCATGACCACCAACTGCAGGGGGCGACTGTGTCTGCGGGAGGTCCGCCCTCAACTTCAGGCAACAGCAAGGTTTGATGGTTACTACTTTTACTACGGTTGTTCGTTGTTAGTACGCTTGTTTTATGTTACACGTTAATTTTTTTTGCCGTTATGTAACAGTTGATTGAGTATTTTTGTCATAAATAAATAAATAATGTATTGTAATGTATTAATAAGACCTGGATACGGCGCTGTCGCTTCCAATTTTACCCAGTGGCCACTTCTGGTATTGCAGTGTAAAATTCCCCCGCGGCCCAAAAAGTGATTTCACCTCAGAACACAATTGTATCTGTAAATCTGTTGAGAGGACACCTCGAACTACAAATAAGGTCAATTCTGACTCCTTCTGTTTTTAAATGTTTGATCCATGGTTAGTTTTATATTTGTAAAACTTTCCTCCAGCCAAAAAAGCTTCATAATGAATTATCAGTTAGATTATTATTGTTTTAATAACCACAGAAATTTCACATTTCCACCTGAAGGAATTGTTGCAGGGCACACTGTTGTAAACATTTAGACATAAAAGGGATTTAGTTTCTACTCTAAGCTTTGGTTCACCTCTATATGCACTAAAACACCAAAAAAATATTTTTGCCACTTTCTTCACATGAAGAAAACTGCAGCTATGAATCAGAGCTCTGACTGACTGACTCTGCACTGTAAGCTGCCCAAAATCCTAAATACAAGCTTACCGCTGAATCCCAAGTTAAACATGACATGATGTGCAGGATAAACAGGAGAGGAGCAGATTATGGAGCTAACGTGCCCCCAAGCCCCTTATCGATTGAAGTCTTTATTCCACCAAAGTGGTGATTTACATCTGAAAAGGGCCAAATAAAAGGTTACACAGGGATGTCATTACATGTCAGAGGAGTCTGGTTACACAATGAGAGATTAACTCCTGAAAAAAGCCTTCTGGTATGATATATATCTTATCTTATATATAGGTCTCTTCGCCTCTGCTATTAACTATGTCCATATAAAGCTGCTGAGTCTCTCTGTCACCATCCTCCCGTAAACTTCCTCCTCCCTGTGGTCTAAACCTCCTGTGTGACCGGTGTAAACACCAACACTCCCCGGTGCTCTGAGCATCCAGTCAACGGCATGTCCATACCTGTCCATCAAAAGGAAAGAGTTAAGGTGATTGCAGCTGAGAAGGACATTAGAGGGAAAACCAGAAAACATTTTCTCTGTAAGATTCAACTTTCACCAAAATCAGTGATATAGTTGGTGGTGTGTGACTTTACTGCTGTAAAGCGTTACGCACAGACAGTTACAGAGGGTGGGAAGGACAGAGGCACCGTTTACCCTATTCACAGTCAGTGTAGCATGACTTTGAAGCTGTTATTTTAAGGTAAAGTTACATAATATTGCTTTAAAATGTGACTCAAGTGACACTAGAGAGAAAAGACGTCCCTTTTTCTTGTTTTTGTGCTTGTTTTTCTCTCTTTTCTTTATCTTTCTTCTCTGCTTTGTGGTTTTTCTTTCAGGGGGATCAGCAGCATCAGGAGCCGTACGATGAGGAGGAAGGAGCTGGAGGGCAGGAGGACGGACAGGACTTCACCGAGTTCCACCCCGCCGACGACCACTCCGCGGACTACGGCTTCATCTTCGCCCTGGTGTTCCTGGTGAGCGGGATCGTCCTGGTGGTCATCGCCTACACCATCCCCCGAGAGGCCAAAGTCGACCCGGACTCCGTGTCTGCCCGGCAGATGGAGAAGCTGGAGATGTACTACGCCCAGCTGGGCTCCCACCTGGACAAGTGCATCATCGCGGGCCTGGGCCTGCTGACCCTGGGGGGGATGTTCCTGTCTGTGCTGCTCATGGTGTCCATCTGCCGGGGCGAGATGTACCGACGCAGGGCGGCGTTTGTCCGACCCAAAAGGACTTACGGCTCCATCAACCTGAGGATGAAGCAGCTGGCGACCGGAGAGGCGGGAGGAGGCGATGGCGGGGACGGAGGTGAGGAGTTTTTGGTGGAACACGCAGACACGCGGAATAACATGCAGCCAGATCCCAGCCGGGTCTCCAGATCAGAACCGGGACCGAGCAGGCATCCTCCACCTCCTGCTGCTCCTTCCTCGTCTTCTTCAGCTGCTGCACACGGAGTCGACTAGCCGCTCTTTACGTTCGCTCTGCAGCTGTTTCGCCTTCCTCTGAGGGAGCACTCGGTTGCAAAATGGTGCGGGTCCCTCATTTGTGCTGACAGGAGAAGCACATCTTGAGCACAAGGCTCACTGCTGGAGCGACCCAGCTTTGACCCAGCACTTTGGGATTGAACGCAAACCAAGTTTATGGGATATTTATTCTAACCAATCATAAGGGATGTATTACTTAACATAAGAGGGCTCGATCCGGTGGAAGAAAAGAGGTAAGCCTACGCCAGTGTGGAAAAGAGAGCACATTTAGAGATGAATGGTTGTATATCAGAGATTACAGTTCCAATATAAATCCTAGTATGTTAATCAGAGACTGAGTTTTACGAGAAAAAGAAAGCACATTGTGTCCAACAGCCCTGGAGGTTGTTCGCCACTGCAGAAAGCAACACTTTATTTATGAAGTCCAGTGTTGACACTCGTCTATCAGGTGACCAAAAGATGTTCAACATTCAAACTTCAAACCATACTTTAAACCCCAAATTACAAGATTCACCTTAACACAGACATTAAATAACTGACAGCTGCTGTGAATATCACAGTCCCTGGGTGGGAGTGTCTTACTGGACCGTCTAAATAAAGTATAATGGAAAGTGTGATGCTAGCTCTCGCACAAATAAACAGAGGCAACATTTTTGAAAGTCGTGTTTCTGGTGTGACATTTACACAAAACCACCAGCATCGGCAATAAAAGGACAATAACAGTACAGGACATAAAATAATGTTAAAACTGAAGCCCAGCTGTGTCACCTTCAGCAACCTGCAGGAAACAAATTAAAAGGCAGCAAAGGATGTTCAACTTAAACCTGCATTAAGCATATTTTTACCACTGAGTACATGAAACTCTTTTTGTTTTAGTTCTCTGGATTCAGCCTTTTTCTTGTAATACTGTGACTTTCTCCGTAATATTATGACTTTAATCTCTAAATATTATGATATCTTTCTCCAAATATGATGTCTGTTTCTCGTAAAATGAATATTAATGTTTATATTTCAATAGTTTTATCACCTTAAAGTGGCCCTAAAGGTGCTTTCAGAGAGCACGTTTTAGCAGTTACCAGCCAACAGCTTCAGAAGCCATTTGTATGCTAAAATGTTAGCAACCAGATGGTGACGCATAATCATTTTCATACATGTGATACCGTCATGGAAATACTTGCACATAAGAAAGTGCATCCATAAAACAGACACAAACTAGAACCAGAACTAGAGCCTGACAGATAAATGTTTAAAATGTTTGTTATGTGCTTATGTTAAAAAAATAACATCACCCTCAAATATCAATATTCGTATTATAACAGTTGGTTTTCAATCTCAGATCCTATCGGCTATTGTTGGATGAGGATTTAGCCTCTGGGGCCAACAGCAATGCAAACCTACAGATTCTACATTTATAAGGCTCTGGTTTGAATAATAGTTGCTAAAGAGGCATTCAAAGTCTAAATCTAGCAAGAAAGTTGCTAAGCTACGGAGCCCCCTAGTGGTCAAATATTGCTTAATGCAGCTTTAACGTTTGACATTTAGCTGAATATACCTGATGAATGCAACAGCTTTAATTCGTTGAAAAGGACAAAGGTGAGAGGTGTAGAAGTGATATGACTCACTGTTAAGAGGCTGACACACTTTAACCAGAAAGCTTTGCATCAGCAGTCCAAGAGCTCTTCTACGCTCTTCATGCTGTTAGTCAGTAATCATTTTTATCCTCCACTTGAAGTTGTTTTTTCTCGGATGAGAACGATTTTTGTCACCGCGTCCTGGTTGCAAATCAATTCCGTTTCCATCAAAGTGGAAACAAGTTGAAATTGTACTGTTTTCATCACGAGGACGACTCAACCCGCCTGGATCGATTCCTGAGCAGCTATATTCTGTCATTTAGTTGGAATAGCGTCTGTGTTTGAAGGTGATTCTCAGACAGCTGGAAAAATATGTGTACTTTTACAAGTGACAAGAAAATCTGTGAAGTGAAGACGTAAGATTCTTCGGCGGTTTCTCACCCGACAGAGTTGTTTAATACTTTCCACTGCTGGTGGCTGAAGGCCATAAATGACACTTTCTACATGTTCGTGTTGCTTTCAGTGAACCCACATATCCGATGTCTTGTGCTGCATCGCTCAAAACTGTTGCCTCGTGTTTCCTAATCAGCATTTTCTGCTAGCATCACTTTCCACAGCATCGCAGAGTGGATCTTTGCATCAGGCTGCACGTGAATATCCAACATCAGCAGCTCCTTTAAAGATGTATAAATGATATTTACCTGACATTTAAAGGTCCCTGAGTGTTTAGTGGGCAGTAAAACTAGCCCGTGCTACATGCTAGTCACTGCTGTAGGAAGAGAAAACCTCACAATTGCAGCTACTTTCTGGTTTCTTTAATTAAAAGTTGAAAAGAAAAGAATAATAATAATCTAAAAATTGCAAAACAGCAAATTTAATTGAAAAACAAACAAACATCAAGGTGTCTTCTGGGTCTTTTTTTCTATCCGACTGCATCTGTTATTCTGGAGAACCTTTAATGACACTGCGCCTACTTATTTGTATTATATGTAAACACATGTTATTTATGTCATGTAAGGATACAATATGCCTTAATGAGTAAACACAGACACTGTTCATTGTGTATACGCAGATATTATTATGCTAATGTATTAAGGTCTGTATAGTGAGACAATTAGCCAAGGGTAATGTAGCTACACACACACACACACACTCTAATCTCAAGCTGTTTATTGTTAAAATATGTTTATTTCACAGTACAAATATACTGTAAATACTACATGTAGACGTGTCGGATGTAGAGGACCAGCAGAAGCTAATGCTCAGTAACCAAATACGCAACGCAGGTATGCAAAATTGGGAAAACCTCGTCACAGTCGGACCAATTCCTTTCTTTGTGTTAGCAGCTTCCTGACCTCCGCAGTTCGATCGAAACAAACAGAACAAAACTGAGCGGATGAACAGCAGCTCGTGCTTCAATATTCAGCATTCAAATTCATTAAATAACAACAGAATTTAATGGTTATTAGATATTAGGGCTGATATTGATTAATCTGGGGCTGCAACTGGTGATTTGTATCACTGCAGATTTATTGTTTGGTCCATAAAATGGCAGAAAATAGTGAAAACGTCCTCAAAGCTCAAGTCGATATAATTACATTGCTTGTTTAAAATCAAAGAACATGAGCAAATATCTCCATTATAGTTGCTGGAACCAGTGAATTTCAGGCTTTTTTGCCCCAAAAAATCACATAAATAAATCCTTATTTATCTAAATAGTCTCAGATTAGTTTTCTGTTGATCAACTAATTAATAAATCAACTAATTTATGCAGCTCCAGTAAATAAACAATAGATAAAACGTTAACTATAAAAGAAGTGACTACTGATGATTTAAAAAGGGAGAATACTACACTACACAACTATCCGTTAGATATATTAAATAATATAATATAATCCATATTGATGAGTACTGTTCTATAATCTCTGGTGCAGCAACTTTGTGATTTTAAAGACTGTTCTGTTAATGAACGGTCACAGGTTCAATCCCTGACACAGTTTCTGCTGAGGTGTCCTTTGAGTAAAGACTAAAGTTTGGACTCGACTGTGTGTAACGCTTCCAGGTGCAGGAGGGAAGTTTGGAGAACGTGGATCTACTTTTTAAAACAACAACATCAGTCGCTGCAGCAAATTCCCAGAGTAGTTCAGAAAACACTTTTATTTTCTTTTTGAAGAGAAGATACGAACAAATTTGTATTTTAATTTGAAGGAAACACTTTTAACGTTGAATACCAGCAAGATAATCCTGGTGTGTTTAGGTGAAACAATGATGCTGAGGCGACTCTTTAAGCTCTGGTACACCGATAACTCCGTGTGTGCTGGTGTTTCGGATCTTCATTTCTTAACCAGTTCCAGGAGCATTATTGTGTAGCTGCTGCACACATGCCTGGTTGTCTATAACATCCATGACACAGGACAACTTAAGTATCCTAAACTGTCTTCATGATAGATAGGTATAGGGTAGGTACCAGAGCTTTCTTGAAAATCACTATTTACATCATTTACTGTGTATTTTCTCCTCCTGTGATGGTGCCTCCATCCATCATTTGCTTCAATTTGCAGCTCACCAGTATACATCCAAAGGGAAAGCGTACAAAGGTCAAACTCTTTCCGTGGTTTCAGTGTGATTGAGAGTTTTATTGGGGAAAAAGAAAGCGAAATAAGAAGTGAGAGTGGAGGGGAGGGAGGGAGGTTTTCTGTGTGAGCGAAGGAGATAAAAAGATGTGGGAGAGCCGATAGGATGCAGCGGAGACGCTGGATGACGTGAGGTGATTCTTGAAGAGATGGATTTGGGGGAGGGGGAGTCGGGGAGTGACTCTGCAGGAAGCTAAATACCTTCAATGATACATTCAGGTTTCTCAGAACAAGAAAGACAAGAATAAACAGCTCAGCTTAAGGTTTAAATAAACATGAAAATAGCCCTCTAAAGCTGATTCATGTGGAGACACGCAGACATTAGAACCTGCAGGTCCTCATTAGTGGGGGAAAACAACACAGCAGCAGAAACGCAACCTGATAGAGGGAATGATTGCTGCTGATGGTTCGCTTCACACAGGCTGGACGCAGAGAGCTGGAAGGGAAGAGGTTTGAAAGGGTTTTAAAGTGAGTTTAGTTACACGGATGGATGGATGGATGGAATCAGGTCAGGAGGAAGCAGACAGAAAGATTGTAGATTGCTTTTGTGGAAAAACTCTTAAAGGGGCCGATCGAGAACTTGTTTAAAGCCTTTAGTGTCTCCAGATGGAGTCGTGGGAAGTCTGACGATGAAAAGTTAAAAAGGAGTGGGAAGATTTTAGATGGAGCGCGTTTGAAAAACTTTATATCAACAAGTGAATCTGCTCTTCTGCTCTTTTCTGATCACATGTACAGATGATCTTTATAATAAGCTCATGAATAATGTATCCGTGGA